AACTTTCCTCAATTTGTCCACCAAATGGAAGGATCTCCTCACTTGAACTAAATCGAATTAATGTCCTGTCTATGTCTACCTCCCTATGATTGAACAAAATCTCATCCCTAGTAAGCCATATATTCTAGGTCAAAGCAAACTACACTATCTTCCGACCTAAACCTCATGCGTTACCTAACAAACATCCTCATGGTGGATGTAGGCATCCCAGACATTATTAACAAACACAGTTTGTCTTCCCCTCCATTTAAGGCATCTACTCCAAAGTTCTGTGGTTACCTAACTTTCAAAAGACAAGGGGTCTTGCTACACATTCAACTTCTTTAGCACATAAAAAGGAAGGTATGCAGTGAAAAAGGCCTATGAATTTTTAGCTCCTAGGGAGGGTGTTCTTTAGGATCAGTTTTGTAAGTTGGTTTGGTGCAACTTATTGTCTTCAAAGGTGGCATTCTTTGGGTGGAGATTATGTCCTGATCGACTTCCAACTAAGTTGAATTTACAAAAAAGAAGGGTGACTCTACATGGGGAGGGGTTATTGTGTAGTTTGTGCAGTGAGAGGATGGAGGAAGTAGACCATTTATTTTGCACATGTAAGAAAGCTTGGTTAGTTTGGGAAAAGGTGTTTTTTTTTTTTTTTTTTTTTTTTTTTATTTTGTTTTTTGGTAAGCCAAAAATTTTATTTTCTTGGGTACAAGGGGCACCCAAACCCATTTACATTCTTAGCATACAACAAAATGCTGCCTCTCCTTTACCATACCATCTTACAGAATTTTAAAGATCACACCTTCCCATTTAGAGTCTCCTATCCAGCATGCTTTTTTATTGATAATATGGGATCATCTTTGCATAAATCATGTTGTAAATTTGGATATAACTTGGCTTTTAACCAGTAAAAGGATCTACGCTTAATGAGCTCGCCAACCTCCTCTTCACTATCCTGTTCTTTCCCAAATACCTTCTGATTTCTCCATACCAATATTGTCCAAATCGTTGTCAACCAAATCACCCTCCATGCTTCCTTAAACTCCTTTTTTGGAATAAGCCCCATATGTTGTTTATAATGTCTTTGAACATTCACTTGTGCTATTGAGGAAAAATCCCACCAAGCGTAACAATATGTCCATATTGTCCAAGAATAAAGGCAATTAAACAAAAGATGGTCCAAGGATTCCTCCTCTGTTGAGCACCAACCGCAAATAATTTCTGCCCTATCAATGATGATTCCTCTTCTAGCCAAATTAGTTTTTGTTGGTAATCTATCAAAAAAAGCTCTCCATGCTAGTGCTACAACCTTTAATGGCGCCGTACTCTTCCAAATTAGGTTGAGATAGCCAATATCCTATGCTGGTTGGGATTGGGTGATTTGGTGGTAAGCTGACCTTGTTGTATATTCCCCTTTGCTTTCCCATCTCCATGTCCAGTAGTCCTCTTGCCCTTGCTTCAGTTAAATTTGACTCAAAATTCCTTTTAATTCCTGCAATAAATTAAATTCCCAAACAAAAAGGTTCCTACACCAACTCCACTACCATTCTCCTACACTCTCACTATCCCTTTTTACTTTAGCTATTGTATCACTTTTGTTTGTAACTAAAGAGAATAATCTTGGGAATCTCTCTTTTAGACTCACTCCTTCTATCCACACATCTTCCCAAAACAGTGTCTCCTTGCCATCCCCCATCACTCTAACACACCCATCCTTTAACAATCCATTATTGAATTTATCTATTCTCTCTAATTTCCACAACCCTCTCCACCATGTTGACCCCTTCTCATTATGAACACACCCACCCCATCCCCTATCCCTTACTGACCCATACTTCTTAAAAATAACCCTCCTCCACAATATCTTTTTCTCCCTCAAGATCATTCACTTCCACTTTCCTAACAAAGCTTTGTTAAAACCCTCAAGGTTCCTAACTCCTAAACCTCCCTCTAATTTTTTTCTACAAACCTCTTCCTATTTTAACCATGGAATCCTTCTCTTACCCTCTCCCCCACCCCATAAAAAATTACATTGAAGTTTAGTGAGTAAATGGATTACCTTCTTTGGGGCTTTGAATATAGAAAAGAGATACACGAGTAAGCAGGATAAGACAACATTGAGAAGGACAATTCTACCTCCGAAGCATAATGCCAATACACCCCATCTATCCAGTCTTCTCCTCATACACTCAATCATCGGGCGCCATGTCAAAATTTTGTTTGGGTTTGCTCCTACGGGGACCCCTAAGTATTTAAATGGGATGCTCCCCACCAAGCAATTCATAATTGATGCCATTACACCGAGAGAATCACCATCTACATTCATTCCACAAAGCTAGCTCTTATCAAAATTCACCTTGAGGCCAGAAATCAGCTCAAAGCATCTCATTACACATTTCATTGCCCACGCGCTCTCCTTAGTTGCCTCACATGTTAGGATGGTGTCATTCACAAACTGTAAGTGCAAGATGCAGAGCTCACCTTTGCCCACCTAGATTCCCTTCAACAATCCAATCTCCTCAGCTTTCCTCATTAGGCCACTTAGAGCTTCTGCCACCATCAAAAATAAAAATGGTGAAAAAGGATCACCCTATCTTAGCCCTCTTCCAACATTGAACTCTTCTGTTAGGCTGCCATTTATAAGCATGGAAACTGTTGCTGTTGATAAGCATTCTCGCATCCAATTCCTCCATTTAACAATAAATCCAAACTTGTCCATCATATAATCTAAAAAACCCCACTCCACATTATCATACGTCTTTTCAAAATCAACTTTGAAAATTAAACCCACCTTATTGCCCCTTTTCATATCATGCAGCAGCTCATTTATAATGATAATGCCATCAATGATTTGCTTATTCCTTACAAATGTTGATTGACTTTCACTTATAATACTAGGCATCACCTTTCTCAATCTATTTGCCAATAGCTTTGAAATGATTTTATACATACATCTAATAAGAGAGATAGGGTGAAAGTCATTCATACCTTACAGGTTTGTCATTTTTGGAACTAGCACTATGAATGACGCATTGCTTCCTTTGACAAGTTTTTCATTCTTATGGAATTCTCTTATAAATTCACAAATATCTTCTTTCAATGTACTCCACATCCTTTTAATGAAATTAAAATTGAAACCATCTGGGCCAGGACTTTTACTACCTCCACAGTTCCACACTACCTCTTTTATCTCCTCCTCAACAAATTCTGCTACCATCATGGCATTCTCTTCATTACTAATCATGTTAAAAGTTATGCCTTCCAATACTAGTCTATTCCAGCTATCTTCTTTGAACTTTTCTCTGAAGAAGTCTTTCACTACTTTTTTCACTTCTTGAACTCCATCAATCCATCTACCATTTTGGACTATCCCGCTCAAACTATTTTGGCTCCTTCATCACACCACACAAGTATGAAAGTACTTGCTATTTGTATCTCCCTCCTTTAGCCATCTTTGTCTTGCTTTTTGAAACAATAGATTACTCTTCTTGTCAACCCATTCTTGCAATTGTCTAAAATTGGTTGCCTTCTTATTCTTTTCCATTTCACTGATTTGCCCCATATCATTCTTCTCATCAATTAGTTTAATTGCCTCCTTTGCTTCCTCAATCTATTATCTATTATGCCAAATACCTCCTTATTCCAGATTCTCAATTCTTTTGTCAACATTTTTAGTTTCTCCTTAAGTCTGAAACCATCCCACCCTCTAACTTCAAAACTATTCCATCATCTTTCCTTAACAAACTGTTCAAACTCAAGGTGTGTCAGCCAACTATCAATAGTTCTGAAAGGCTTTGGACCACAATCCTCAACTCTCGATTGTAGCATTATTGGGCAATGATCTAATAAGGATCTTTGCAATCTCCATTGATCAACATTCTGGAAGCTTTGCAAGAAACTTTCAAATACCAAAAATCTATCTAGTCTACTTGTAGCCTAGCCATCACTCCTATACCATGTGTACTTCCTACCTCTCATTAGTAAATCCACTAGGTCATTATTTGAAATAAAATTATTGAATTCAATTGTACTACCAAGATCAATGTAGTTCCCTTGTTTCTTTTCTAAATTTCTTATAGCATTAAAATCCCTTCCAATACACCACAATCTATCATTGTAATTGCTCAACATTACCTGCAATTTTGCCCATACTCGTCTTCTTTCTTGCTTGTCACATGGTGCATATACATTGATAAATATGCAGGGTACCTCCTCACTCCACCACTGACCTTCAAACCCACAAAAACCAAATCCTTCAAACTTTTTCTGGGCTTTGAGACTATTTTGGTTCCATAAGCACAGTATACCCCCTAAGTTGCCTATTACCGATTTCATTATCTAGTCAAACTCCCCTGGTCCCCAAATTGCTCTGCCCATCCTCACATCAAGTAAGTCAATCTTAGTTTCTTGTATGAACACCACATCGAACCTTTCCTTTGCTATCATCTCCCCTAATTCCCTTTTTTCCGCCTTCCTCCTAACCCGTAACATTGTAAGATAGGGCCTTCATCTTAGTAATCCCTTCCCTTCTTTATCTGCCCTAGCCTTCCAATTCTTTTCTACTAAGCCAATCTATCCCTCTTCTCCATTTCCCTTAATCTTTTGATTATTTCCTCCTCGTTACCCCTTCTAACCAAACCCAATTTTTTTCCCACTACCCATAGTTCGCTTGCCTCTTCTTCCCACGATCTCAACATAAACCTCATATTACAATTATTGATGCCACTCTTTGAAATGGAATTACCTCTTTGTGAACTTTTGGCTCTGTTCTCCATCTAAGCACTTTTTTCTTTGGCTCTTTCTAGGTCCACTTTCATGCCTCCAGTCGCTATCTATTTATTCTTTCTTTTCTCTTTCCTACTTCGATCTCCTCTGCTCTTCCTCAACTTTCTTTGCTATTTTCCTTCCTTTCTCAAGTATGATAATTTGCCCTCACTTGCTAGCCCTACCCAAAAATTAGTCACTTCATCTCTACAATCTTCACTTCTATCTCTTTCTTCCAACTCACTTTCTTTTGTGATACTATTCGCTTTTTACTCTTCTACTCCTACTAAGTTTCTAGATTGGTCCTCCTGACACTTAGGCAGTTGTTGTCCACTATGTCCTTTCTCATTTTTGAAGACCCATTTGGGCTAGATGGAGCTTTTGGCCCAAATTCCTCTTGCCTATCCTTTACTTGAGAAGGTCTGAAATGAACCTTTTGTGGTGCATTACTGCTAGCCCTTTCAGAATCAGACATCTTTTCCTTTTCTTCCTCTTCGACCCTCAGCTCCTTTAGAACTTCAACCTCTTTCTTGTAGCCCTTAGGGCTAGTACACTCCTTCCTAATATGGCCGTTGCTAGCTATCTTAGCTTCCCCATCTGCCACTGTTGCCTTTCTGGCCACCTCCAATGGTATTTCAAAATTTCCCATTGGTGAGCAGCCTTCTTCCTCTTCCATTTGATTATCTCCCTCTGTGCTTGCCTTCCTCATCGAAATTTGCAGGGAGTTCTCTACGAACTCCCTATCTTCCCATTCTAAGTCACTTTCGCCTAATGATGATTCCTACACCCATGGTTCATCCGAGGACTCTCCCTCCTTCTCTGACAAAAAACTTGGACTATAGACATTCAACATTCCTGTTTCTTCACAAATTCTTACTTGAAAGAAAACTTCACCCACTTTAATCTTTAATATCTTTGTGATGTTTTCCGGTGTAGCTATTGATATACAAACTCTACCTGCTCTTCTTGAGAATTGTGGGTTGATCAACCTCAATAGCTTTTCCATACCGGTTCCTTACCCTTTTAAAGAACTCTTCGTTCCATATATTCAATGGTACACCATAGCACTGAAGCCATGTATATCTTTAAAAAAGTAAATATTAGTGGCCTTTTAACAATCTATTTGTTGTCATAACCGGAGCCCAGAAGACATGGCAGAAACTTTTGAAGATTAGAATGCCGAAAAAAAGGTGATCTTTAAATTTTAAATAATTAAAAAAAGATGTGATGGATAATTTTTACACTTTAATTTCACTTTACATGAAATAAATTTTAACTTTTAAGAAAGCAGTGTTTACGATGCAAAGCATTTTTACTTGATGGGTTTGTTTAAACATAAATGAATATCTTATTTTTGAGAGAAATTTGTGCTTCTTATAAGCCCTTCTCAAAAGGAAGGACGATAAGTTAGATCAATCTATGAAACTTTTGTTAGTGTGGAAGTACAAAGTTTTTTTTTTTTTTCTTTAATTTTGTGGAAGTACAAAATTGAACATTCATTAATTGAGTAAAATACAACTTACACCTACTCTGACAAGCCAGCAACAAATCTCATAGTCTTCTCCTACCTCTCCATTGGCCATTTGAGAAGCAGAGGTAATTTTACGCCTCCTTAGGTGCACCCAGGCCTGTGGTTTATCGCGTGACCGTGTGGTGCTCCTGACCCAAAGCCCATCAAACACACTCTTAGCATCATCTTATTGCCCTTACTTGGGTCACAAGCTTACATTACCAAGCCTGCCAACTTACACCTACTTGAACAACTTACACCTACTTGAACATAAGAGTCAAAGAACATATAAAACGTATAGAAGTGGCAAATGATAAAAAAATATAGAAAGATCACATCAAAAAATGTACTGATCAAAGGGGAATTTTCTACTTAGGGAGACCCGTTAGGTCTATCTGATGTTGACCAAGACCAGAGAGGGTTAGTTTAGTACTTCCGTTATTTCTAAAAATGAAGCTATTCATTTAAATTAGGAGGAGGAGAAGATGAGGCAGACAACCAAACAGCAGAAACAAATTTAAGCAGGATGTAATACAATCAAAGTTTGAGGTATGGAAGAAAGAGGTAGAGAAACAAAGAAAGGGTAATAAATGGAGGAGACATCTTCAAGGAAAGAGATGTCAAAGCCAGGAGCTCCTGCTGCCATACTCAACTATGCTTCATTTCTTCAGGTGGGTATTAAGGCTATTCTCAAGTGTTTGGGCATTAAACAAACAAAATGCAACAAAACCCTTGCACAGATGGCAAAGTTAATGACACAGCTGCAGCTTGTTGCCTGGAATCTTCAACTAATGAACATGCTGCAAATCCTCCAACAAACAACAGACACAGATCCCCCAACAGACCCTCAAGCTGATCCTCCTTTCCCTCAGACCACAGTATGCTTCCTTTCTCCCTTTTTAATTATATATTATGGCCAAGCATGTTAGTCCTTCGGTATGATGTGGATGAGCTATTAGAGAAAAAGATTCATTATTGGAAACTTCAAAGAAATGAAGAACGGTATGGAAAATTAAGATGGCCATTTCTTTCACTACGTGACTAAGATTCAAGCCTAGTTCCCCTAGGCGTATTTGCTAGCCTTGAATATGGTTGTTCTGTTTTACAGCGGTCATAGCAAAGCTAACTGTTGATTACTTATGAAATGAAGACCTTAACCAGTCAACTAGTCACAGGTAAGTAGAAAGGTCAAGCTTCATGCTATTCTCACATTTAAGGTTCTGTATATTGAGAATGTTTCTTCATGCTAGGTAAGTTTTACAAGAAAAAGTGTAAATAAGGATATTAACTTTACATTTTTTTCTATTTAAGAATGTTAACTTTGTTAGTTTTTAAATAAAGATGTTAACTTTCAATTTTTTCTATTTAAGGATATTAACTTCCAACTTTTTCTATTTAAAGATATTAACTTTAAACTTTTTCTATTTAAGGATTAATTGGATAATGATGCTAATGTGGCAAATGGATTTTTTAACCAAAACTTTGAAAGTTAGCATCCTTAAATGGAAAAAATTGAAAGTTGATATCTTTAAATAGAAAAGTTGAAAGTTGACATCTTTATTTAGAAATTAACAAAGTTAATATCCTTAAATAAAAAAAATTGTAAAGTTGACATCCTTATTTGCACTTTTACTCTAAGTTTTACATCTAGAGTTTCGATCCCTACAATATTTTCTTCAATCTTTATTACTTTCATTTCTTCTGCTCAAAATTCAAACTTCATTCACCATTAAAAAATGAAATAGAAAAGGACCATAAGAAAATCTCAAACTTTCCCTTAGGAAATGTCCCAACAATTAGAACTTGAGACATGTAAATTGGAAGTCTAGGGTTAAACCTTTGGGACTGATGGGAAGGGATTTCGGAAATGAGAGGTATATGCCTTTTGTATAGCCTAAAATCAGATGTAACAAAAAAGAAAGAAGTTAAGAATGGAAAACCCAAACTGGATAGCAAACACATACCTTTTACAACACAAATGCTCTCACCACTTTTTGGATTCCATATTCTCAAGGTTGCATCATCAGAGCCAATACAGATTGTTTAACCTTAAGCACCAGAGAAAGCAAACAAGCAAGTATTTTACTAATTGTAAAGTTATACACCTCAATGCCTCCTCCTGGACCATCAAGTCGATGAATGAGGGTTCCCAATGGCCCCCAAATCCAAACAACTCCATCAAACCCTCTAGATGCAAGCAACTGCCCATCAAAACTAAGGGCTAAACTAGACACAGAATCTCCATGATCTGCACAGAAACTCTAAAGAGGATTAGTTAATAAGAAACTAAGATTGAGATATCAAACCAAACTTTTTTCTCCTTTATCACCTTTTCTAATTAGATTTGGAAAAAACTTCTGGCACCAACAGAAGAATACA